GGGCAGCATCCATCCCATTACCAAGAGCAATTATATTTTCATCCATTGGAAGCATTAGAACTGAAACTTCCAGAAGATGGTTGACCATCATATCTGGATGTAACATTACCATTCTCTAAGTGTTTACTCCCAAAATAGTAAGTTGTATCCATCCCAGCAATCTGCATGACAGAAAATAGTGTCACCTACCTTCCTAATGAAGAATACTAAATAACTAGGGCTGCAGGCTCTTCATTTCTAGCAGAAACTGCATACTAGGAAATCATACAAAATAATTTAAGGAAGGGAAATAAGCAAATTAAGATGCAGACTTACATCTCGTTTCATAGAACTGCCCCTCGTAACCAATGAACACTCTGTGTTGTCCACATCTCGAAGTTGTGAAAAAATACACCTAACAAGTTCATGCATTGTGTGACTAGCTATCCGCTGCAACAGCTCACCTTTTTTTCCTGCTTGATGTACTACATGGAATCATGTGTTTACAATTGTGCAAACATGTTGGTTACTCAACATAACACATGCTTTACTTTTCAAGCAAGCCTGAAGAACCTGGAGTATCTTCGTCAGGACCACTTCTTCTGATGCAGGATCAGTCACCTTGAATCTGCAGCTAGTCACAGCGTCCACTACCAAGTGCAAAACATCTTAGACGTTTACTGTGTTCAGATCAAGCACATCAAGAGTCAAAATCTTGTAAACAGATGACAAAGCAACACCTGTGATTGGTGCCCCAGTTTCATCAGATAGAATCAAATCCAAAAATGGCTGAAGATATATGGTTGGATTCATGGAATACCACTGATGCTACCATGAATATAGTTGCCTTCGTAATGCCTTAAAATCACCCGTCATATAGCGACCATCCCATCTCACATTCCTCCTCATGACAGCCAATACAGCACCTATTTCTGAATTAATCATACATCCTAAAGCAAATTTATCAGAATTTGACGTTTCACAGACTTATGGTTTTTCTTCAATGGCCTTGATTCCAATTGCAGCTCTAGATGCCCCAGGCTAAAGGTTCTCTCTTCTCACTAACATCAGACACAAGTGACCTGGGATTAGCAACTATAAACAGAGAAAATCTCAAGCCAGACTAAGTCATGCCCTTCACAATCTGCATGGAAACCCAATTGATACACTTAACAGGAAATCCATATAATTAAGAAGCTGACAGAATCTTAAAAGTAACATAAAAGGGGCAACTCCAACCACAAACAAGTGAAATGCATCTTGGGAACATACTATTTCAAGCTTCCCCAATAAGAATTCAAATGCTGTATTGTACTACCTTTGCATAAGATACCACCATGCTTCAATAAGCTTTCCAACACTAATTCTGGGAATAACAAAGGAGCAGCAGCAGTAGTGTACAGTGGCAAAACCAGGTGTGGGACTATACCCACCCCAAAAATATCCATTCCCATCCCATTAAAGTCTCAACTATAAAACTACTAAGTTCACCCCTTCTATATACACTCTATTATAGACTAATCCCACCCCATTCTTCATCCACCTCATTAATAACTAAACTTATTCCAAGTAAAACACATCACACTCATAAACTATTCCTACCTCAATATCTTCTCATTTTTAGGGTTTCTATGTATGCGATGTTTCACACACTTGAACGTCATATATTCAACTTGGTAATCTAGCATGGATTTCTCAACTTGCAACCCACTAGCTGCAATTCTACAAGCTGGATACCAAGGCTGCTCAAGTTAAGATCATGGAATGATGACAGAACAAAACTAAATGACGTCTTAATTTCGCTTGCTCCGCATGGTTCAAAGTGGCGGCCAATACCGATATGCTAGAACTCTTTGAGTCCGTGGTAGATACCGCGACCTTGAACCATGGCTCCGAGTGCCAAATGAGACTTATTTCCCTTTTCTATAATAAGAATTATTTGCAAGTGGTGAAATTTTATGGTTTGATTCCATTCAATACTACGTTTTTGTGCTAGAAATTTTCCAATATGGGTTTGACAGCTTCTTGATTTCTTTCCTACATAATTGATATCATGGAACAGTTCTTTTATATATAAACAAAATAGTTAGTTTGATCAAAAAAGAACTTCGAATCAATCATTTGTAATTGTTGGGGCTTGATCTCTCTCTCTCTCTCACACACACACACACGAGACAATGGTGAGATTTGGATTGAATTTAGTCATTAATGGGGTGGGGAAAGAATGGCGTGGGGTTAGTCTATAGTGGGGTGTGTATAGAAGGGGTGGGCTTAGTAGTTTTATAGTTGGGACTTCAATGGGGGTGGGAATGGATATTTTTGGGGGTGGGAATAGTCCCACCCCAAAACCAGCATCACTGCTATAGTGTCCATCACAGGCACATCACAGCCCCAAACTACTTCCATCAACAACTCATTACCACTGCCTCCCTTTTCCACCCACCAACTCTATTAATGCCACGACAAAAACCAGGTATCTCAATTGCACTGCACCACCAAGAGTTACCTGGATCGCTAAAATGTGAACGACCCACGATCTAGGTCGGACGACCCCAATCGGGTGTGCGTTCGTTTACCAGTTAGGTACAAATCCCGACCCCAATTGGAAACCCTAGCTTCAAATCAACCCATCCCCAATCTCAATTTTAATCCCAAATTGTGGCAAAAATACGAAAAAAAGAAGAAGAAAAGAAACCAGAAACAAACACAAGAAGATGCCAACAGATGAAGTTGATGGTAGGAATACATACTTGGATCCTACTCTGTGAGAAGATTTCACAATGGCACCTTCATCGCAAGCAACAACTTGCGATCGTCGTCGCAATCTTGTTGCAAGACTCGTCTCCATCGATTTCTCAACTTCAACATGCTCGATTTACAATCGGAACTCTTTGTCTCTTGATCTCCCTTGATTTTTAGACCACCTTCCTGTCAATGAAACTAAATACTAGAACCCAACGGTTTTGAATGGTGATTTGATTGCTTGTGTTCCAAATTAGTCCGGCAATTCTCGACACCGTGAAATCAACGTTATTCTGACACGAATTTAACGAATTTGAACGTAATTTTAACGAGTTCGGATAATTAATGGTTAACTTAACAGATTTATTAAATAAATAAATTGATTTCATGTTTAATTTATAAACTCATTTTAACGCGTTAACAGAAGTATCATAATTTTTTAAAAAATAAATTAAATTTCTTAACCTCTGCCTTATCTCACACCCCATCTCTCAAACTCGTTTAAATTTAACAGTCATTTAATACTTAATTTTTATTTTTAATTTTTTATTCAACCATAATTTATTATTACAGTAAACTGGTCAACATGTGTAATGTGTAACGAATTGATGATTTTTTGTATGAATTCAAAATACCCTAATATATTCTCTTATTTAGCGAGTGATACATGAATTGTATTGGATAACCTATCTAATAAACTCTTCGAGTATGGGTGTGATAGTTGAACTTGTTTATATAAACGAATAAAGTATGGATGAAAATTTTTTTAACACAAATTCGCTCCCCCTAACACAGAACTGTTTCGCTCAACGCTGTTGTCGCCTAGTTCCAAAAACTATAGAGAGAGGAGAAAGGACAAAGCGGAGAGAGAGAGACAGATTGATTTAGACGGAGTGAGGCGGGTTGGAGTTA